AAATATTAAATATAATATAAATGCCATGTTTTTCAATCCATGTATATTAAAATCAGTATTTGAATACATGTTTTTGGTGGCATATGTATATTTTCACAGTCAGCGATTACTGATTAGTAGGCCAGTAGGGCAGGGTAAATTGGTAGTCCTTTTGCCGATAATTCTGAAATGTATAAATGTAAGAACATGCCACCAGGAATGATAGCAGTGATATAAATAAGGCCATACACGGTCGTGTGATCACAATCATCACATGATACAAATATACAATTGTGCTATTATAAAACTAAATTAAATAAAGTAAAAGACCAACAAGGCAACAACAGCAAATTTACTTGTTATATTCAATGTACCTTTTTTACTTGCGTTGTTAGGCACATTTTCTTTGTTTTGGAGTGCACTGCCTTTTTTCACAGAAATTCTAAAAAAACATATTTTTCAGATCAGAACACTGCAACATTCACAAGTAACGCGACACTCCATTAAAACAAAGCGGTTAAAAAATCCAAATACCCGCGATTATTTACCTTGATTTTGCACGAGTCTGTGTTTTTCTAGCTTCCATCATTGCCGATTTCGTTTAGATAGACGGTTGTGTTCATAGAAAGGACGAAAATTGTCGTATTTTAGTGATTTAAAAACGCTCCTTTCTCCTACCGTGTGTCCGTGTTTCAAAGTTCGCAGATCAAGCAAGTTGAAATTCGCACAGCCAATCACAACACATGAATCGGCGTTACCATAATAAACCACTGATCTCTGTTGTCTTGGTAAACTGGACTACTCATCCAGCACGTTTTGTTCTAAAAAAATAGGTACGCAAAAGATACGATCGTTAAAAATAGACCTTTTTCACAATGACGTAACGCAGAAAAACACTAAATGCGTTGTCCCAAGAGACATTATAGCGACAATTCGTAATGCAAATGTGCTTTCATGAAATTTGGGCCACTCCATATGTGCACCCCCCTCCCCCTATTGAAGGGTCTGGATATCCAATGGGGGTCTTCATCTTAAATTTTCCTAGTGGGTAGCTTGAGAGATTTTAAAAAATGGCAAAAATTAGGTGTTTTAGCCGATATCCAAGAGGGAAAAAGCGATATCCTAAAGTGGTTAGTATAAGATATCCTCTGGGGTAACTTCCACAAATTGCATCCAAGGGGCTTCCGATCCAATTTTTTTATATCCTAAGGGGACTATGAAGGGACCTCTCAATAGGGGGTGCCTATATTAAATGGAATGGCCCAATGGTCGCTAAAAGATTGTCCTGTGGGACATCCCATAAATTGTTTTCCGCGTTTGACACCATTATGAAAAAGGTCTATTACTCCGTTCCTAAGTTTTAATTGTCTCTGTCTACTGAATAATTCAAAATTTTCTTTCTTTATAGTCGAAAGTCCCGAAAGTCCGAAACCCTCAAAACACAATTGGTTACCGGTTGGTTCAATCGGAGTTTGATTCCTATATGCAATTGTGGTTTTCGATCTGATTCAATAATCTTACTTGCATTGTACCGCATGCTTCCTCACTATAGTCAGGTTACTTTATGTAGCTAGCTAGTGGCTTATACTGGACCTAAAAAAGAACAGTTTAAAACTGATAAGAGCTATCCAATCCAGCATAAATCTGAAACTTCGCATAGTTATATAGTTTGGTTTAGCACAAGCTCGTGTATGCAGAGTAGCCATGCAACGATGAATTTGTAGATTTGAATTAAACTGGTGTCTAACAGGTGGCTGCTCAGTCGCTATATTTAACCCTTGTTTATCTCAATAGTACATCTGATGATGATTGATAGAACATCTTTTGTTTTAAATAACATAATGAAATATTTCAATCACTGAATTATTTTTCAATATTTTTCAATAAATAATTGAAGATTCAACGCAGCTTTTGCAGTGTTTAGTATAACAGATTTTAACAGAAATATACTTTGGTAGTATTCAAGAAGGATATCAGGATAGCTGCGTTCAAAGGATCAGCTGTATTGACATTGTGATACATATGACGATAAATATGTAGTGTTCTTATTTTTACCGAGAGGAATGGCTGCGGTCTCGCCGTTATTCCTGACTATAGGGATATTACTGGGTCTGACTACATTGACTGGAATCTTGGCAAATGTTAGTGTATTACTGGTAGTCTATTGGAACAGATCATTACAAACTCAAATTAATATGTTACTTGTCAGTCTCGCAGTTGCTGATCTTGGAGTCGCAGCGTCCTGTGTGCCTTTTGCTATCACCACCGTGTTCCTTCAGTCAAATGTAAGTGTATAATGTTAACTTAATGTTTATACTGGAAAGCTCTATTTGTTCTTGTTAACTTTTTTCCTAGTCCTAATTAAGAGGTTCAGTAAAAGGCTAGCCTGTTCGCAGGCTAGTAAAAGGCTGAAGTGTATCTCTTTTTGGTCCAGTGTTACTACTCCGAGTAAACGTGAGGTTTTGGTAGAGTCAAATTAGAAACATTCTTCTCATGCCTCCCACTGGCCCTGCTCGCAAATGCTGAGGTGGCTAACGCTAGTTTGTGCAGCTAGAAGGGCCAGAATTAGGCTTTAATAGTTTTCTCTCATTAATGTGAACCAAGGTTCGTTCTTAATGGTAAATATTTAAAAAAAAAACGCTCAAAATATTTTGAAATTTGATTGTTCTTGACTGAGTGATTATTCTTCCAAAGATGAGATGAAATGACTGCATGTGTTCCTATAGTCTTGGACATGATAACGGTTGAGACTAATGACTTTGCTAGCGCACTCGAAATATTACGTTATGCATACGTTAACAGTAAACCTTCCAGGGGCGGCGGAACAGGGGGGGCTAGGGGGGCTAAAGCCCCCCCAGAAGTAAAAGTGGGGGGGCTTAGCCCCCCCAGAAAATTTGAATTTTTTGAAAAAATTTTGATAATTAGGGAAAAATTTAGGTTATTTTTTGAAAATTTAGGTATAAGGGGACAAATTTGCAATATTTTGTTTAAAAAAAGTGTATTTCCGAAAAAATTTTTTGATATAAGTCCGAAAAAAATTTTTTCGTCCCTTTTTTTGTATATTGTACCCCTAAAGTGGTACACTGACCGAAATGGGGGGGGGGGGGGGGGGGGGGGGGAGGTTGCCGAAAAAATTTAGCCCCCCCAGAACGAAATCTGTTCCGCCGCCGCTGAAACCTTCATGACCCCCTTTTCCCCAGTTCAAAGTCCCGAACACATGACACATGTTGAACATTGAGTTACGGGAATGCGACTTTAATTAGCTCAACATGTGACAGGCCAGGAATCTTGCACATCATGTAGACAATCTCTTTCCATTAAAACTTAGTTTGAGTTTATATGTAAGAAGTTAAAAAGAAATATTACAAAATAAGAACTATTATTTTTAAATTTGATTTACAGGGTATCAGTGATAATTTCTGTCAATTCAGTGGCTTTCTGAACCTGTTCTTCGCCTTGGCAAGCACATCAATGATGGTCTGCATCAGTGTCTCGCAATATTTTGCCGTCACATCACCAATGAAGAAAATCATGACCAACACAAACTGTTTTATGATCGTCCTTAGTGGCTGGGTTATATCATTCCTCATTGCCCTCGGACCCATAATGCGCTGGGGTCGTTACGAATTCACTGACACTATATATGACTGCAACGCTGCTCATACAACACGAATCTTAGAAATGTCATATAATATCACCCTAATGGTCTATGCCTTCATCCTACCATTTCTAACAATGCTGTTCACCTACACCGCAATTCTGAGGGCCTTTCGAGAGCATAGTGTTCGCATGCTTCAAACGGAATTAATAATGAGTACATCGCAAAGTAGTATGAACGTATCCGTTTCCATAGAAACAAAAATATGTTTCACCGTGGTTATTGTGGTTGTAACATTTTTACTATGTCGGACACCATTTTTTATTTACCTCTTCTTGATAACAATGCGGGTCATAAGTTCGTCGGATTTTCTTGGCCAGCTTGCATTTTGGGCTATATATCTCCACAGTGCTACAGATCCGTTCATATATGCTTTCAAACATGTGGAGTATAGAGAGACTTTGAACGAAATTCAAATGAATATTAATAAGACATTCAAGTCTATCTTTGTAAGGGATGATGACTATACACAAGCAATTGAAGAATGAATTGCCGGAGCGTTAGCATTATACTCGCCTGGAATATATTATTCTTTAATTTAAAATCTAAAATGTTGGTAACATCCTCATGTTTGACTACCCCAACCCTATAGCAACCATAATAAGGATATAACCAAAAAGTGTCTCCCTGTTTTCAAAGTTTCAAATTGAAGCCATTCGGTATGTTATGTACTAGATAAAACATGAGCAGCCTATCTGTATCTGATATACAAACTCGAGCCGAAGGCGAGAGTTTGTATATCAGATACAGATCGGATGCGAATGTTTTATCGTACTTAAAAAATGACCCATCTTATGAGTTCATTGGCAAAGTAATTTTAAAAATAAACATTGTCTAAGCCGAGAAAATGAAGGCTGAAGTTTATGTAAATCAGGACAAATCTTCATCCGATTTACAAACATTGATTAAACATTCATTTCTTTTGTATTTTCCTCGTGAATTATTAATGAATTTTTTAAAAACTGATATCAATCACCATGATTCACTGAAGTTTCTGGAGAAGCAAAATCTGTATCGCGGTGAAAAGGATCAATATATTTACCTACAAAAAAGTTTGGCCTTCAGGAATCGTGTATATAACGCAATTAACATGGTCCTGCTTCGCTACCTAGGACGCGATGGACGATTTTGATGTATGGAAAGTTAGAAAATGTTGCAGCACTTTCGAGCATGGTAACCTTTGGTGGTAAGGTTTCGTGAATATTTGCAAACGAAAGTTTGAACAAAACATAATATTTTTGCTGAACTACAGGATTTGATCAACAAGATTTCATGCAGTTGTTTTAATCGTAGTTAGACTTCACTGCACTTGCAGGTGGCTTTACAAATAAACCAAAATCATCCCGCCTCCTACCACTTCATGGCGAAGCAAGGTAATGTTTTATCCCTTAATGAAGAAAGTTTTTTGAAATGAAAAGTATTCTAGCTTCAGAGGCTGGTTGTACAAAGCTATATAGCATGGCCACTCGTCCTGATTGAGTTACCTAAAACTTTGGTTGCACAAAGTATATTTGGTATATTCGAACCAACAAAATTTTGTTCAGCTGATCGAAACTGTTGGAAATTCATGGCTCCTGGGATAAGGTATCCAACTTGTACAACCAGCCCAGTGCGGTGCAAACCTACTGAAGATTGCTTTACTGAGCATTCTGCACAACATCTTCCTTATTGAGAAATTTATCTCAAATATACAATGGGAAACCCAGTAATTTAGTATTAGTTCTTTACAAATACAACAGTGGTCCTTCTTTGATACGAGAAAGAAAACTATATATACGTAATGTTCTTTCACAGTTAAATATACCATAAAGATATACATACATTTACATGGTATTGGCTAGATGCATTAGCAACGTGAAATAGAATTTGTCAAAATTTGTAAATAAAAACAACAATAAAATATTTTCCCTAAAGTAAAACTTCGGAAGCCGTTAGGACGTCGCTCTGGGAAGACTCGTCCTTGGTTGCACTTTGGTGGTGGTGTTTTACTTTCCTTGATCATCTTTAATCTCGTGTTTACAGTCCCCTTCTACGATTCACTACCAGCACTGCTGTGGGAGCGTTTTATATACAAATTTAATAGTTTCAGCTGCAAATGAATTCAAACAAAAACAATTAAGATTAAGTTGTAGTTGAATGTGCCTTCATTTTTATATTTTCGTTTTTCGTGCCGTTATAAGTATAGGTAATCATGCGATGGCGAGTACAATTAGGGATTAATAGTACGAGTGTGTTTGGAAATTTTGCCAAAATTGGACGAGCCGCCGTTAGCACATGACAAAATTGGATACTTCTCAATGTCAACATGATATTCTCTCGCCAAAGCCGAGTCCTGGCAGACTTTCAACCAAAATTTGGTACTTTTGTTCGTATTTTCATTTAGTTCTTTTGTTAAAGCAAAATTTGGTGCTTTTGTTCGTATTTTCATCTAGTTCCTCAAGGGCAATTTCATTTCACATTTGTGTTCAAAATACCTATCCGCCATTTTGTTTGTTTTGGGAAAATCATTAATTGTACTGCAGTACAATTAATGAAATAATTGTACTCCTCTCAACCAATCAGCATCCAGTAATTTTGTCATGCTAATAATAAGTTCAGTTATGTCAGATAAATAAATTTTCAAACACACAGAGTTATTGCATATATGCGTTTTACCTCTGCAACTGAGGTTCTATTCCAGCAATACGTGGTTGTCTGAATATAACTGAGCCACAGTCTCATATAAAAAAATGTTTCCATGAGCACACACGTATCGCGCATATTTTCCCCATGGCTCCTGTAGTAACACTGGAACAATAGGGATAACTCTTACTGAACGTCCAGGAAAAAACTACCTCAAAGACGTATGTTGATAGGTGTACATGAATGTACAATAGGTCACCATATAATTTTCCTTTTTGTACTGTTTCCATGGTAAGGGAGAGAATATATATTTGCATGGCAGTATGGAACGGTAAAATACTTGTAAATCTTTTTCACTTACTTTGGTTTGCGGTAATTCCAGTAGATATGGTCGCATAACAGATTCTCCTACTATATTGTGAATGGCAACCAAACAAAATACGCTTGCCTTTCGAACACTGCTTTCCGAATGATCATAACACTAAAAGATATAAAAAATAATTGTAGAGCACTGCATCAACACTAAAAGGTCCGATCTTTTTGGCCGAACTGGGATCGACATCTCGTCCAGGAGCGCTGGCCACACTGTCATATGATAACAATTTTTATTAAAATTTCGAATAGCACACGTGATGTCGCGTAGACTTGGGGCTCAGACTCGTCCCCAGTCGCTTTTAAATATAAATACTTGTAGATCTTATTAGAGTTTCTTTTTTGTATTAAACAATATTCAGGTAATTCTCAGGCGGCTGAAGACAAGAGCGGGCGCGCGGGCTGAGGCCAGAAGTGGGCGCGTAGAGGCTCACGGGGAGGGCGAAAAATAAAATTGAAATTCAAATAACGACTGGGGACGAGTCTGCTTGGGGCTAAAGACAGAAATCTAGTCCAGCCTAGATATTCATAAATATGACACAAGATAAAAGGGTTTCACTTTGCTACTGTTAGTATACAGTGGATACGCGCGGCTGTAATGTGTGATGTTGTGGTTCGGGTTAAACTTTTTGGAAACTTAAATCTTTTTTTTCTTTGAAGTTTAACATGCAATAACTTAACTCTCTAGGGTTAGAAAAAGGGTTGCGAAAGGGTTAGGGACAGGGTTATAGGGATGGGGTTGTGTTTAGGGTTAGGTTTAGAGTATAGGGTCTCCCAAGAACGCCTGATCGCAGGTCGGACTAGATTCCTGTCTTTAGCCGCAAGTGTCCCGTAGGAGGTCCCGCCCTTCATGCAGGACTGATATAAACACCATCCTAAATCGTCAACTTTCATACCTTTAACAAAGGTGGTACAAGTAGAGGCAGGTTAATTTCCACTGTCGTATGGTCAACACCTTCTAAAGCCTAGAGGATGGAAATAAATACTTGCGTTAAAAGATTTGTAATCGAGGCATATTATATTTTTGAAAAGTTCTCGTGATTAATAATACTTTTATTAAGCTTTCAACTCATGCTTCGAGCCTTCATCAGAATGACTATACATTTAATGAGTTTAAAATATATATTCTTTCATTTAAATTAAAAAATAAAAGTAAATGTATGAACAATTGGTTTTCATATTCGGAAAGATCAGACTTTTAGCTATTGAATGACATGCTTTTCATGCCAAGTGGAGAAAAAATAAGCATGTACGAGGCCGATTAAAAATGTTAGTCAAAATCGCATATTTTCACCTCTGTGCCTAATTAAAACAATGCATAACAAAAGAAAAAGCAATTAATCACGAACGTGTCGTAGCTTAGCTAAGATTTATTCCTACTTAATAATAATTATGAATATTTGCGTCGTTTATTGAAGTGAAATTCATCAACTTAAGTACCAAAGGGAGTTCATTTTCAATGGTTTTAGACCCAACTCTCAACGGTGAAAATATGCTATTCTGACTAACATTTTTTATCGGATTCGTATTTGCTCATTTTTTATCCATTTGGCATGAAGAAGCATGATCTTTCCGAATGCGAAAAAATCTCGTTCATACGCAGAGTAATTCAGATACAATAGCGCGCTGAAGTTCGATTACCTTTTTTTTGATAACCCTGTATAATCATTCTGACGATGACTCCAAGCACCAGGTTCATAGCTTAACAAAAGTTTATTATCAATCCTGAGAACTTTTACAAAACAAATTTTTAAAAATACCACGACCTGACAACACCATCCACACCGTCTGACAGCCCTTCTCTGTACACCCAACGACCTAATACCACATGACATCCGACAACAGATGCCTGTATTTGACATAACCCTGTTTCGAATATTATATAACACACGCATTGTGTTATAGTCTCCTCGTGTACATTCTGTCTTTCTGATAATGTTATCATATAACATGCTGCATGTGTACGGGCACAAGTTGCGGCGTTCCTGATTTGCTGTAGTTGTAGAGTGAATCTTACCTGCATGCACCGCACTTTATTCCCGGTACGACGTGTACAGTACACTACATACCTTGGTAAGCATTTTAATTCCAGCGAGGTTCACAGGATATGTACTGTCACCGATCAATGGTGATAACACTGTCATACATTCATCTGGACTTATAGATTTAGAAAAGGTCGCTGCTGCTTCTTCTGCAGCACGAGTTACCTGTACAATAATAAAACAACGTTGAGAAAGAAAGTGCCACAAAAAGCAATTTCTATTATCTATTGGAAGCATTCCTGCTAAAAGACTACAAAAGCGAAAACTAACAGAACGTGCATATACCATCTGATCACAGTCAATAGAAAAAGAAACTCGATGAAATGCAATGAACGGTTTATTTTTCAGTAAATCAACCAATATTTAAATTATTGGATGGTCGGGCCACAGTACGGAACACAGGTTACGGTGAACTACTCATCTTCTATTTCTGCATAAACCCATCTGATACTTTATTAAGCACACTGTTTTCTTCAGGCTTGCACCAGGGGATGAAGCCAGCTGACCTTGGCAAACATGATCAAACATACCCCTTTATCCTCATCCTGATGCAGATTCAATACTTCTGATATAACAAGACCGTTTAGTTCATTAAAACTGTACGGCTGAGCTTTAACCATATCTCGTACCACTCGCACGGCCAGTGTCCTGATTGATGCCTAAAACGTCAGTATTCGGGTTAGAATTAGCCTGTATCGCAGTCCACTACACAACAGTGGATTGGGACGCAGGCTAGGCTAAGATGTGTTTCGGTTAATATTCGCTTCATTGCTCATTCATTGATCGTTTAGTGTTGAGGTTTTGGCGTCATATAAGTCACTGCGTTGTCAATATGGCTGTCCGAAAGACAACCGAACACGACAACCTGGTTAGGCGTAAAAAAAATACCTGTGGTTCCGGTTCCCGACCGACCCTATTTTTTTCTGCCGACCCTATTATTTTTTTCAACACGATTGACCGTGCGACCCTATTTTCTCCAGGTGGTTGCGGGCTGCTCATACAGCGTGCCAAATTGGCGTCTGTTGTCACACTAATTATTGAACCAAATTGCCTAAATTCGTCCATAGGAAATACGCATCTCTAGTTAATAATGATGTCGGGACTCTACTGCAAATCGCCCAGCAGAAAACCGCCAAAACCATGAAAAAAATATTTAAAAAAATAAATTTCCGACCTACCGACCCTAATTTTTTCACGATATGAAACCGGAACCACAGGTATTTTTTTTACGCCTTAAGACTATGTGATCTAAACTAGGGTCGGGCGGTTCAGGGTGCAAATCGAGACTATGTGATCTAAACTAGGGTCGGGCGGTTCAGGGTACAAACCGAAAACCGTCTGAAAACCCCCCGAAAAACCCGATGTTTTTTAATGAAAATTTCCTTATGAAAATTTAAAGGAAATTTCATAAAATAGTGGAAACACTGGGTAAAAAAATATGGCGGCCATTTCGGTTGCGAATTACGAATATTTCGGTCTTATTTTCGCTCGATGATCCTCTAATACTCTATGCTTCGCGCGCTGTTTCTGCAAGTTTCAAGTATTTTCCCGATTTTTTCCCAGTTTTTCGGATTTTTGTGTCAAAAGAAAAATCGATTGAATCGGTTTTTTAAAAAAATCAGGTTTTTCGGTTTTATCGATAAACCGCCCGACCCTAATCTAAACACACTTCAATGGCACATACCTCTGGATCCTTCATCTTCTCAACAACAGACATGAGAATATCCTTGAATTGATGTTCCCAAAGACTTGGCGAAGATTCTCTTGCCATTTTCATGAGATCTGTCAATGCATTCTGTTTTACTTCAATACTCAGATCAGAAAGCAGAACTAATAACTGATGAATAGATTCCGCATCGTCTTGGATCGCTGAAAGGAAAGAGACAAGAATGACATACAATTACAATAAAGCGATGAATTTACCGAAAAGAAGGGAACAATAACAGTGTTCTTTCCACCCAGTATACAGAGCAGTCAAGACATGGACATATTTAACTGTCTGAGCAAAGGGGGGAGGAAAAAACCGCCGTATCACATGTTACGGAACGGTAGGGAAATGTTATCATAGATTCATAGTCTTGAAAACTCAACACTGTATTGTCAACACAAAGCGCATTAAAGTTACTTCGAGCATACTATTGGTTGCATATTAGTTTCTCATGAAACAATAAAATTGGGCGGCCATGTTATTACCAAATTCAATGAAGGATAATGAGATTCTTTTGTTGAAACAGTCAAGTATTTTCGACCATCATAATACAAAAAGAACTTTCACCAACCAAATTTTATCGATCTTTTTTCCACCAAACTACCATTTCGTTCCCTGCCTTTGACGCTTTTTCAAACCTCAAGTATCTCAAGTAGCAAATGCGAATATGCAGTGATATATGCTTAATGGTTTTTTAGCAGTGCGTGCAAATAAATTGAACGGATTGTATAGTGAAGTTAAAACGTTGATTTTGTCTTTCATATCGTTTCAGGAAGTATATTCCCAAGTGGATAGCTGTTCATTTGTTAGTCCTATGGCTCGTGTAATTTCTGGCTTCAGCTTTTTAGACATTTTCCCATACATCGTAAAGAAAACCAGCGGAAAATTCACGATGTTGAAATGAAAAATACTACGACATTTTGCATTTCTTTCTGTTTTAAAAATATGTTTTTATGGACGTTCAAACGTGGTATCCTCGAAAAATTCAGGCAGTTTTGGAGTCGGCTTACGGCGATTTACGACCAGAATATATATGTGAAAACGGACATGCACCTGCCTCGTACCCAGGCGCTTTAAATAATTATAATACATGAAGTATTCAAGCAGGCAGGCAGGCGACGTGCGAAGCGGCTGTTGGGAAGGCTCTCGCATGCAAATAACTTTGCTTCCATCAGCCCCTTCTCTCGCCACTACAATACTTCATGTAAACTCGTCATATGCGCATCGCTGTTTTTTTTTACAAAGAGACGCCTGGGTGATAGACAGGACATGCAGTAGTTGGACTTTATCAGGGTTCGTACATGTGAGGAAGAGTGAAATTCAAGGACTTTTCAAGGACATTCAAGGCCATGTATCAGCAAATTCAAGGACTAAATACTGAAGAAAAGGGGTTAGAAATCAGTAAATCTGACGTTGAATTGTTCAAAACGAGTTTAATGAGTTTCAAACAGCTTTGTCAGATATGAACATGCAAAATCAATCCAACAAAATGTCCGTTTTGAATGTCAAACAATTTCAGAAAATATCGAAAAACAAAAGCAAGAAAAATTTAAGGACTTTCAAGCACTTCTTTACAAATTCAAGGACATTCAAGGACATTCAAGGACTTTCAATTTTTGTACGAACCCTGCTTTATATTCTGGTCGGAAATTTATGACCAGAATGAGAATATATTTGTGACAATGGACATACAGTAGGTAAGAATTATCTTGCGATACTGGACAGTAAACAATTTTTCTTCCTTGAAAGTTATTTTCGGGACATCAGGATGACTATAAAAATCAAGTCTTAAAAATCTTAAAAACTATGACCCATGTACTTGTCGTATTTCTAATGCGTTGAGAGTTAGTGGATTTGTAGTATAAATTGAATGTCTTTGGGAGTTTAGTTTTCAGTTGTGATTTTAGCTGACGGCATTTCAGTTGTATTCTTGTCGTAATTTTTTTATAATTTGCTTTTGCAATGATTGTAATATTGTAAGGATAATTATGAAATATTGTGTGATGGCGTGTTTTTTTACCTCCGATGGGATGAAAATATGCATCTGACTTAAACGTTAAATCCATCCTTGATAATAACATGTGAAACAGATGACATATACATAAAAGAATAAGGCGTAAAAAGACATTACCTTTGTTGAAGGATTCGGATGTTTCATTTATAGGGGACGTCACAACAGTATCAGAACTACCATTCACAGTAGTCTCCTGAAAGGTAAAACAAGTACTTTAATGCGGCAAATACGGCGAGAAAACATGCGTTGTTTGCTGGAGACAATCTGGGAAACACTCTTCACACATACAATCATGCAGACAACTGCATAATCGAACCCCGACACTAAGCAAGCCCTGAAAAAACCACTGCAAATTTTCTACACATTTATTTAGATCTAACCAGGAGCAGCTGTGAAAAAAGCAACTATAGGTCCTCTGGAATGCATGAATCGAACCTGCGATTCCGGTGCAGCTCTCTAACCAACTGAGCTACAGAATCCAGTTGTCGAGCTCTAACCTGCAAGTTCATGTTCATATTCGACATTTTCGCTGTTTAGGTCTAAATACATGTATAAAAAATTTACACTCGAAATTTCCATCTACAAAATCCTTCATCATTACTCATTAGTTCAATCGAGTGAGATGCCCCAAAATCCTGAACCCCTCCCTGCCAATATCGCTCTGATTTGCTATGATAATTGGAACATTCAAATGCTCGTTATACCAATATTGAACGTTCACACGATCATGAACATTTTTTTATTTGACTTACCAATGGTAACGTTGCTTCACTAGATGTTTGATCTTGATAACGCTTTGCGTCATATGTCGATACATTGGATGTTGACGGGCTTGCAGGCAACGTTGATTCGCCTGAAACACTAGGTGGACTGTTATCTCCATTCACGGTTACTGCATCGCCAGTGTGTATCTCGTCGCTATGGTAACCGGATGACGTAATACTAGGGGAATTTTCGTGATTCACGAGATTCTTTTTGCCTTCTATTGAATCGGAGCTGTCGTTTGAATGCAGAGATGTAGTGCTGTTTTCTCGTTGAAATATATCTGATGTAGAGTTTCCTCGTACGCTGTCGTGAAGCGTGGAGTCTGGTGCGAGGTCCTCCTCTCTATTTGGCTGCCTTTGAACGGCGGGGGGAATACTACGGTAGCCAAGTCGCCCGGGGGAGTGTGGTGGGTTGGCCTCCGCTTCGTCAAAAGAGTTCGACGTGAAGACCTTGGCGTCGCTGTTAACTTTCTTTAGGTGATTACGAATAAGTTTAGATGCACCTTCCTATGTAATAAAGGTATAATTTAGATGCACCTTCCTATGTAATAAATAGTATACTAGACTGTACTGTTTATTGCACTCTTGCCCAAGTGCCTCGTTTTCATGTGGTGTCCATAAAATTGTATTTTTACTACACTACCATGGATACTGTCATCTACCTCAGCTTAAATCATATTTATAAAGCTTGTGATGAATGGTGATTACGTCCATTAGATAACCTGGGTTGAGTGGGTTTCTGATGTATGCTCTGACTGTTCAAATATAGGCTGATGAAATATAGGCTGTTGAAATATTGCCGACTGAACAACATGTACAACCCATAGATATCTTATATAAACTAGATGGTGCATCTAATTATTCTGCAATTCAAAAATTGAAGCCGTAATTGCAGACTCAGGATATTCCCATGAAATGAGAAGACTCGTACGTTTTCTATTTCTTAAACAGGGAACTTAAACATTAAGTTAAACCTATTCCAAATATATTTTCAAACTATTCAAATGATGAAAGTTATTGTTGTTTTTAAGCGTTTATTAGCGAGTGGGAAACTCCAACATGGCCGCCATGTATTCAAATGGGGGTAACCGCTGGTATATTCTTGGCTTCAATTTTACTAAAAGAGATGCGCTATCTAGTTTATGTAAGATATCTATGGTACAACCATATAGGCTGTTGAACCTGAACAACCATACAGGCTGTTGAAATATTGTTGATTGAACAACCTGTATAGGAACATTGAAAACAAGGTTGCACAGCATTGTCCATGTTTTTCAATGCTGTTTGTTCAAGGTTTTCACCAAGAGTAGATTGAGAGCTCAATCATGCATTGTTGATTGTTCAACTTACGTGAAAAGATCTCGGAAAGTGTGGCAGCATGGAACTAAAGATTGGAGTATTCAATTCGAACAACGCAATCACCACTTTGGCTGATTCCTACAAAATCAATATCATATAAAGAAAACAACTTCCCAACGATATTGTTCCGAACATTTGTTCTTCACAAAAAAGTGAAATTCCGAAATTAATGAAGTACTGACTGTACCTTTCGAACGTCTGCACTTTTTGGTTCTGAGTTCCATGTTATGAATCGAGATACGGTGAGTCGAGTTTCTATGTGATGTTAAGGAAAGACTACGACATTGTATATACTATAAAATACGGTAAAAATAGCCCTAAGCTGTCATGGTTTGTGTTTGAAGGGAGCGGGCCTTCGCCTATTCAGCCCTTGCAAGTATCGTCATGCACAACGCATAATTCGACACAACTGTTTGACTTTCCGCCATTTTGGGTGGCAAATGTTTAGAGCTAAATAAAAACATACACAGCATCCACTAGCCGTCAAAATGTCAAAAGTTTACTTCGGCAGAGCTCCAATTTATCGCTTTTATTTACCCCGAATAATACGAATTCAGAAAGGCAATTTTTTTGGCAAATTCAGACAGTCGTTTCCTCTGCTGTCCTTATTTTTGCCACCCATGAAAATCGCGCGATTTCTTAGCACGTGACGTAATATTTCCGAGCGACTGCAAGACCTGAATAGAAAGTTATTTTGAAATTATTCAATGCATATGATGCTATATCGTTGGCACATGTGCATCATTACTACAGTCGGCCGAGCGACCGATAGATAGATTGAACAAAAAATTATACAGAAGGATACCAGCTGAATTAACAAAGTCTGCAGCATCCATCCGTGCTATCAAGCCTTGTAAGTATTGTAAAACTGCGACTTTGATCTGAAAAGACGGAACAATATCACGTCAGAGAAGAAAGTCACATTCGTCTTTTTGGCCAATTTACACTACACAATTTTCTGCCTAAAACTGTCGCATTGTGAGTTGAGTGCTTGATTTACATAGTACAACTCAAGTTGTAAGGCTGCATGCGACAGTTTTAGGCAGAAGTTGTGTACTGTAAATCGGCCTTTATAAGTCCTGAAGATATTTCTGTTTCGAATGAATTGTCAACCCTCGGCCGTTACTATTACTATACATGTCCGAGATTTTCCTATTGAACCTGAAAAGTCGTAAAATTATTACCTTGCAATTTGCAATCTGCTTGTTATCAGAAATAAACCTCGTCATTACTGAAAATTGAATGTCATATGGAAACGAATCCCTGTAATATAACAAAAGCGTTTATAAGATATTTTGATTATGCAAGACTGCGTGAGAGTGGCTAGACCTACAGGGTTAAAATGGGCGGGCGCCAGGTCGCCAATTGCGACAAAATTTTCATCCAGGGGTCAGATATTTGCCAAGGGGTAACCCTCGTTGCGACTGAGGAAAAACTTAAAATAATAAAGTAATTCAGAAGCCCTAAAATATCTCAGTAATCCATGCAGTATTTCATTCTGCTTTTGCAAATAATTTGCCAACATATTAAACAACCGTTTTTTATGTTATCTATATACAAAGAGAATACTTCACGATTTAGAGTTTTTTAAATTTCAACCTTCTTGGTAGTCTCGTGGATAAATTCCTATGCCTATATATAATATGAACACGTTTGCGATTGGTTTTCTGAAACAAAACATGCAGGTGATCAGTGTTTGGAAAATGATTTCTTTTGTTTATAGTTTTTATTGTCATAATCAAGCTATCACAGAGCCAAAGAAAACTTCGGATTGACAGGGAACTACTGCCTAAAAAATACAAAGAAAACTTTGACTTTTAGGCCCTTTTAACTAACTTCCCGACGAAAGGCCTACCCTCAAAACATCAAAGTTCTCGTTGTATTGTTCAGGTAGTTGCATCTCTACCAATCCGAAGTTTTCTTATTATTGACACTTCCTACACGGACACAGACCGGTAAGATTATATTACATATTCATATACATATAGGGGGATACAGCCTTTTTCACTGTTAACCACTAACCTCACGACATCCAAGACACGTACGACTTTAGAATGCACTGATGCAAGCAAGTCAGCACCCAGTTTGCAAAGAAGTCTCGTCAACAAGATGAATAGCCATTCATTTAAATCAGCTTTGTGAATAACCATAAAGTCGGTTAGGGTGTCCAAGAACGCGCTGTATACCTGAAAATAGATAACAGGTACTGTAGATGTTCGAGTGTTGATTTTATGGAGGTAAAGAGATCCTTCTGAGATCCTTCGCGTTGTTATATTTCCCGTTTAATTTCATCTTGCGTCTATATACCTGCATGCGTCGTACCCAGGGGCTATGGGTTGCCTCTTTGTTACTGCATCACGGGTGCGCGGGAGACACGCAGCAGAGTAGCAAATCACGGCGCCTGGGTACGAGGCAAATTCCATATGGGAGCCGAGTTGGTCCGCGTAACCAATTAGTATTTCTTATATAAACGCTGGGCTTGCACGTCTACCCGGAAATGCCCTGTAGAAGACTATTTTCGTAATACTCGCTTGGCAAAAAATTGTCAAGATAATTCAAAATAATAAAGTAACGCATTTTATGAAAAAAGTATGGAGGCCTCCTTGTTTTACGTAAAGTATGAAGAGAATGTTATATATTTAGAAATTAATTGTGTCGCCGCAAATGCGTATACCCTTCCGCTCAATTGTCGTGGTTCTTCACTTCACAGCGCATAGATGCGCGCTATGTCTTACCTTATTATGAGGATCGTAGAAAAATCGATTGAAACATTCCAAGAATTGTACAATTTCAGAATGACTGAGAGTTCGAGAACTTCTGAGATATGCTTGAATAGCGTTGAGAGCATCACGTCGTTCTGACCATGTATTACTGTGGCAAAGTCGAGTTATTTCGGATATTTCCTGGAAAATTTAGTTTATCAAGTTAAAACTACAACTAAATTAACTTTATTTATACTGGATAGCTCTATCACTCCTAATCTGCTTTTCCTAGATGTTCAGTAAGGATAACCCCTTAAACTACGGGGGCAATATTTTTCAGGCGACGGCAATTATGTGGTAAAATCGTTGCAACGCCGTCGCGAGAGGGAAATTTCTTGTGTGTCAAGCTATGCGATGGTAGTGCAAAGCTTCCTTCAATCGTTTCAGCAATTTCAAACAATTTAATTTTGGCAACGATTGCCGAAAATTGGGAAGCATGGTAAAGAGGTTGATAGTTTCTTGACCAGCCAATGAAAAGTGTTATAAAAAAAGTTGCGCCCACGCCGTATTGCTTTCAAGTCTTCTGACGAGCGGTGTTTCGCAGAGTCAAACTGTAGGCACTCTTCTCGTATGCGATACTATCGAATCCCAGGTGCAGACACCAATTTAGCTCGAATAGCAACGTAATAGAAATAGCTTCAACTTCAAAACTCCGAGCTTAAAGTGAACGTGGTAATCAAACTTGTGAAATATTAAAGGTACTAACCAATGTCGTAGATAGTGAAGATGTAGATCTATCTGAATGAATACTAGACGTGTCACTACCGTCATCCTGCTCTTCAGAACATGTTGAATTGAAGGAATAATTTCGAGGTCTAGGACTTTTTGACTGCAAGAAAAGATTATAGCATTTCAAAAATCAGTTTGACCCTGTTCTTGGGTTTCACTACGGCATTATGCAGTAATCTGACGGGGGGTCAACCTCAAATGTATTGATGCTTATGTTGTACTGGAGTGAGGAAATGATACGAAATTCCACGTATTTGCCACCAAACAAAAGGCTAATACATAAAACGAACAATCGACTCACTCTGATAACTGTGTTTTGTTTTAGAGTTGACCCCCCGTCACTTTTGTGACGTCATATGAAACCTAAGAATATAGACCTATAGCCACCTTAAGTACCCGTTCTCGTTTGTCTTGTCAAACGTACTCACCAGTGCATCCCAGACAGCAGCTTCCGTGAAGTCTTTCGCGTCTAATCTCCTAACTGAAAGATAGTCAAGAAAACATTCGCATCATTATTAAACCGTTTAAAATCATTTCGCAGACTCTTAATTATAAAGTTCAAATTTCCAAAAAAGAGACACAACGTTAAACTGGTTTTGACGCCCTCAAAGGAAAAATGGTCCTACGAGTATATTACGAGGCCGGGACTAACATGGTGATGTGTCCCAACTGCAATATGCGATAATGCGTACTTACGTAGCGGAAATACGCCAGTAATACGGTTTTGTACTTCTTTGCTTTAAGCCGAGTACCACATAGGTACGCGCGACTCTTACTTTCTGCGTGCGTACATTTTGCTGATACCATATGACCGTTCCAAAGTATGCGAGACCTAATTAAGCAGGTATCGAATTATCGCACCCTGCACTGATATAGTGGGTGTGCCCAGACTACTTAAATCTAAAGGCAGGTATATCTTGCACTGTTGCACATGTTGTGAGCTCTACCAGATAGGTTGGGTAGTATCTTACCATGCGTTGGTTTCCTTCCATGAAGGCTGCTACTGCTCAGACTTCGCAAACCATGCTCCCGGGTAGGGCTGGGATCACGACTGCTTGCACGCGAACTCGACCGAGACGCTGAACGTGAACTAGAAATGAATTAGAGATATATACCATTAAATAGAGTATCACACGTAAAACTCTCATATCTTGTTGACAAGTTGTTGACTCAACAAGCTTGTAGCAAGCTTGTTGACATGTTGTAACAACCTTGTTATTTATCAAGTTGTGGCAAGCTGGTTGTCATCAAGCTTGTTGCAACTTGTTGGTTTGTAGACCTGTACCAAGTTGTTGTTGATAACAAGTCACATCATGCTTGCTACAACAATCTTGCTACAAATTTGTTGTCAATAACGTTGCTATATAGCTGTCACAACAACCTCGCCACAAGCCTGCCAACACGTTGCTACACGTCTGTGTCAACAAGCTGGGACAAGCAGTGCGAACACATCCTATAACAAGTTTGCATGTACAAGTTTGTTACAAGCTCCACAATATTCAAATATTTTGAATAAGATTTTAGGAATAATTTGAAATGAATGATGCCAAATCATCTAACAAAGGTTTCTGCCAAAACGCAGAGAATGCCATTTCACAAAATCTTGATTACAAAATTTTAATTTTGTGTATGTCAACCGACTCCCAAACCCATTCATAGTCTAAACTGAAATTATAAATAGTTTTACGACGAGATTTATCTTGACAGTAAATATCTATCTGAGATTTATCTGGGCAGTAAAGATCTCGCCATTTGAATTTTGACCAAAAAGTGTTTTGAATTAATTATCACAGTTTGTGCTGCTTCTAAAGAAACTGTGTATTCCCTATAGCTGGTTTTTTTATTTAATGCCCATCATAACCGAAACATTCATGCTTACTTTGGTGTTGGTATCTTCGACTTCAATGGACTATAGATCTTCGAGTATACGTCTGATCTTTCTTTCGGTGAAAACTGATTGTTGAGTCGCGACGGTGAAGTCGAACGGCTTGCGGCTAAATTAAAATAAAGTATATACACTTAATCTCTCTCACAATTGCAAATCTACATTTCTCTCAAATCTACAACATATTAACGAGAAATGATCTGGACTAAGCAAATATATTTAGTAACAAACAGTTAAATGGGTAAGATACAGGAATAGCCTGCGGTGGTAAGATAGCTATAAGCTTTGGCGCAATGATAATGACGAAATATAGATTAATTTCAGAGCATAGCGTTGCATCACTTTGCGCAAACACAGCACTGAGGAAGTTTGAAATTCTAGATGTTGTTTGGTTTTACTTACTTCTCCATGTTTTCTGTTTTAATTAACTAGTTTGAAACTTAATTTGTTCGTTGCAAGAAATAGCTAATTGCTTTACACTTTAATTTCCCTGGATGAACCCATAATAATGCATTGTGCTTTCGATCCTTTTTTATTTTTATTTTGTATTTAAAACTTTATTTAAAGAGGCTAGCCCCATCAGCAAAGCTGGTTTCAATGGGAGGGGGTACCTTTTTGATTCGTAAAAGTTGGATGACTTTCCATAGTACTGTAGTGTCCCGAAATGCCGGTTTGGGGTCGCTATATAAGTACATGTTGTTATAGGGTAAGGATCGGGGATTAGGACTGTAAAAGGATTAGGTACAGTTTAAAGGTAAAAAAATCTGTAACAAAATTGTGGTTGTTAATTAATATGGAAATTGAACAAAATGTAGACAATTATGACTTACGCTGTGACATGTATCCTCTGTGAACTACTTTAGAAGCAGATCTAGTTGGTCTTTGTCTCACGTCACTTGCATGACTTGTTTGTGATATTCCCTCAGTCTGTGATCTTCTGCGCAGGCGTGCTCGTTCAGCAGCGCGAGTGTCTATATTACTGACTGAGCGACCAACCATTTTGTTAGGTGTACTCGATTTCTTGGAAGGTAACACACGTCGGCCTGGCGAAGCTGCAGAAATATTCCGTGTTTCTACGAATGCAAAATGAAGTATGATATAGCAGAAACTTTAAACAATCAGACAATGAATTTAATTAATATAGATATTTAATATTTTTCAGGGTTTAAAATAAACATTTTGATCCCCGAGCCGACGGCGCAAAGCGCCGTGCGAGGGTACTAATTCCCCTCGGCTATTTACACCCGGGGAAACGAAAGCATTAGTGAAGTCTAAAGTTCATCAATCATCGCGGGCGTGGGTCACCAACGGTGTTCGAGTGTTGGGTGTGCGGTCATCCTCACTGATCTCAAAAATATGGCGGACTGTCATGAATAGCGGACGCTGATTGGTCCAATTTAAAGTTTGTATTATAACGACTGGATGACGACAGCGAAATAGCAAACATTTCTTGATTTGATGATTGATAAATTTCTTGCAAATATATTTCATTTTTGCTCGCATTTTTGCAAGATTTTGTAAATTTCAAAAGCTCTCTCAGAAGG